AAAAATATGAGAAACTGAAAAAAAGGAAATAAAGTGTTTGTAAATGAGGAGGGGAGGAAGGGTTGAAGGGAGGGCAGGGATAAGGGGGAAAAATGAGAACTAAGACCTGTCATGTAAAGGTACAAGATCCCAATGATGAATGTAACTGTACTGTATACGTAAAATGTACCAATAAACTCAATAAAAGGAAAAAAATGAAAATGCCCAAAGGAAACACTGAGAATAATATATCGCATTAACCTAAAGGACTAAGAGAAAAGTGATTGGATAAGAACTGAAGCTAATATATATAAGTTTGGAAGAATAGTAGATTGTTCTCATTTTTTCCTTGTTATCTATCATTTTATAAAAAACCCAAACAGCTAACTAAAGACAAAAAAAAAAAAAAAAGTGGGTCAGGGAAAAATATTTGCCGTATCTGCAGCTCTTTTTTTTTTTCTCTCAAAGTTTTAAAATCCATCACTTTGCTAATGGAAGAGAATTTCAGGTTTCATATCAAAAGCTTTAGCAGTTTTAAAAAAGTTAAAACATGAAATATTTCTAATTTTAAATTTCACCTAGCTTTTTTAGAAAGGAAAAATAACATTCTCCCAATGATCTTTTTTTTGGTGGTCCTGGGCCTTCACACTGAACTACATCTCCAACTTCTCTTTTATTTTGAGACAAAGTCCTGCTAAATTGTTTGGGTTGGGCTAGAACTCTTGATTCTCCTGCCTTGGCCTCCCAGAGAGCTGGGATTACAGATGTGCATCACCACACCATGAAGTACTCTTAGCAGCTGATTTAATATTTAAAATATATAAACTCTCATCCCACATTGCACCAAGACAAAAAAAGGATTTGTCAGTAATCTTTAACCCAGTGGAATATGTCTGGTAATTACACATTCTTAAAGAAATCATGGGTGTTTAACATACTGTATTGAAAATGTTGGGCCAGGGATTTAGCTCAGTGTTTCTGCCGCCTGCCTTGCAAGAGCAAAGACCTGAGTTCAATGCTGCGTACCCCCCGAAAAAAATAAATGTTGTCAGAACCTACCCTATGTCCTAGACATAAAGCCACTATATCTCTGTTTCAATTTTCATTTTATTGATTTCTGTGAAGATTTAAGTCTATTAATTATCAAAGATACTACCTAATATTAAGTCAAAGAAATCTCACCTTGGTTCCATTGCATCCAGGGATACCTTGAGGACCAGGAGCTCCATCATGGCCTGGCATTCCCTTGAAAAAGAATATAACACATATATAACATGTTTTATATTAGTGTAAGGGTATTATTTATTTACTTATATTTATTTGAAGTGTTAGGGATGGAACCCAGGGCCTTACACATGCTAGGAAAGCACTATATTGAGCTACATCCCCAATACTTAATTTTAAAATAAAAACCTAGAGTATACTTACAGGAAGACCTGGTGTCCCCGGAAATCCAGGAAGTCCAGGAGGACCCTAAAAGAAGAAATAATTTCCTTCAAAAGACAACCATTAACAATAAAAATAATACCCTACCTAAGGATATTATGGAAATTTTATTTAGGGTTCTTGAAGATAGCAGACTACCGGCAGCCTGCACTCAAATTGATCCAGGACATCTGTCTAAACCAACAAATATGTGACTCTTGTTGAGGGGATGGGGAGATCATTCAAAACTGCTGGATTGCAACTTCAGTGAGCTAGCAATCTGATGAAACCCAGAAATGTTGGTATTTAGAAATTTAAGTAAAGGAATAGAGATAATGCACGGTGGCACTGAACAATGGATATTCAGTGAGGAAGGCTAAATTCCATTCCAGTATGGTGTTAAAAGGAAAAAATGCAGCATATTCTTGTGAAGATGGACCTTGCTACTGTAAAGAGACTTGGGTGCAGAGCAAGAGGATTGTGACACAGAAAAACAAAACAAAACAAAAAAAAAACAGGAAGGAGAAAGGCCCAGTGCATGGCTTGAGGGAGATCAAACTCAAGACTGGGAAAGTCTTATTGAGGAAGAGAGACAATGCAAAAATGTAACTAGCAGAGAACATAATCAACCAGGAGGAGGGAAATAACAACAACAAACAAACAAAAAAAGAAAATGAAAAAGAAAGAAAAGAAGAGAAAAGTCTTGAGGAAGAGAGACAATGCAAAAATGTAACTAGCAGAGAACATAATCAACCAGGAGGAGGGAAATAACAACAACAAACAAACAAAAAAAGAAAATGAAAAAGAAAGAAAAGAAAAGAGAAAAGTCAGGAAGGAAGGAAGGAAGGAAGGAAGGAAGGAAGGAAGGAAGGAAGGAAGGAAGGAAGGAAGGAAGGAAGGAAGAAAAGAAGACATTTTGATTATTAAGGCAGGAAAAGAGCTCAGCCACGTGGTGTCTGCGGTGAGAGTGGGGGCATCTGAGTGTAGAGGTGCTGCTGCGGGGATTAGCAAGGTTAGGCGACTGTGGCTTCTAGTCCAAACATAGGCCCTGAGTGCTCAACCCACTCCCCCCAGTTAGGAGGCGATCTGGTAATTTTACAGAGGTTTAACGCACAGTAGGGAGCTACCTATGGATTATGAGACTTGGTGGACAGCTTGGGTTTTTGTAGTGTGCTCATTCCTGGAGGAGATTGAGCTGGTGAGTGTGGACCACTCCAGCCACTAACAGACCTAGGAATACTAATGTACAACCACAAAGCGGAGGAGCTCAGCCTCCAGGCTGACCTAAGCCCCAGCAATAGATGCCTGAGGGAAATGATTATCTTCAGCATAAATACCACTACGTGCTCGAATATTGGACCTATCTATATTTTTTTCCTTTTTTGTGCACTTTGGGGGAATATGTATATATCTAAATGTATACAAGTGTACAATCTTTTGCTTCTGTTGTATATTACCTTGTTTTGTCATATTCTACACTAAGGGTTGTTTCACAGCGTTTTCTAATTTTGTTATTTGGTAGTTCATTAATTGGATCTAATCTCCCTATATCATCTTTCATTTTCTGTTTATATTCCCTTCCCTTGTCTTTTTTCCTTCCCTTCTCATACCTTCTCAAATCTCCCATCCCTTTCTTACATATAAATATTTTCCTTAAAGTTTAGTTTTTTCTCTTTTTCCTAGCCTATCCTACATTATTACTCTTTCTTTTCTGGGGTTAGTTAAATAGTACAGAACATTTTAAGCAAGTTTTAAGAAGTTCTTTAGAAGTTGCCAGTATTGGTATTTACTGTGTAGCAGTACTAGGAATTAAAATTAGTACTCTTTTTTTACACAAACTAGCAGTTAAATGATCATTGAACTTAGAGACACATAAACAGCTGAATGAATTAATATAATACAGGATATGAAAAAGCACTTCAGTAAAGAGGTACAGGTTCTGAAAAAGAAGCAAACAAAAATACTGGAAGTGAACCAACTAGTCAAATTAAAAACAGTCAAAAGTCTTAGCAATACTCAAGATAAATTAAAAAAAAGTCAGGACTTAAAGACAGGGTGGATTACTATAACATTCCAACAGCAATAAAGAAAAAAAAACAAATAATGAAAGATTATTCAAGAGCCCTTAGACAACTCTAAAGAAACAAATTTAAGACTCATTAGTGTCAAGGAGCATGAAGAAGTACAGACTAATGACAAAGAAAACCTATTTACTGATGTTACAGCAGACAATTTCCAAAATGTAGGGAGTACAATAGATACCCAGTTATGGGAGGCATTTAGAACCCTAAACAGAAATGACCAGAAAAGAATTTCTCCATGCATATCAGAGGCAAATTGCCAAACATTCAAGACACAGTAATAATATTAAAAGTGATTAGAAACAGAAATTTACATACAATGGCAAAACTCTCAGAATAGCACCAGACTTCTCAAGAGAAGTTCAAAAGGCCTGAGGGGTTTGGGGTGATTTATTTTAAGCCCTGAAAGAAAATAATTGCCAACCCAGATTACTACACCAGTATCTGCAAGGCTGTCCTTCAAAAATAAAGGAGAAGTAAAGAAGTGAAAACTAAAGAAATTCATGACTACTGATCCAGCATTGAATGCTAAACACAGAAGAAGATGACGGTCACAAGGATGGGACCAAAGGAAGGAACAAACCACAGTCAGAGAGTAGATAAATAAATGAAAATCAAGAATGAGCCAAACACTAGAAAAACAACAAAACTACAGGAATTAGTACATATCTTTCACTAATAACACTTAATGTAAAAGTTCTTAATTATCCAATTAAAAGGCATAGATTGGCAGATTTAGATAAAAAAAAACAAGGCTTAACTGTATGTTGCTTACCACAAACACAGCTCACCTATAAAGAAACACACAGACTGAAAGGATGAAAATGATACTCCAAGCAGCTTATTAATTTGATATGATTCCATTTGTTCATTCTCAGTATTATTTCTTGTGCCATTAGGGTTCTGTTAAAAAAGTCCTTGCTGACGCCTACGTCTTCAAGAGTTGTACCTATTTTATCTTCCAGCAGATTAACTGTTTCTGTTTTAACACTTAGTTTGTTAATCCATTCTCATTTTAGTTTAGTACATGGTGAGATACATGTGTCTACCTAGACTCAATCTTCTGCATGTGGATATTCAGTTTGCTCAGCGCCGTATCTTAGAGGCTATTTTCCATCCAGTGCATGTTTTTGGCACTTTGTTGAAGATTAAATAGCTATATGCATTTCTATTTCTTCTAGTCAGTTCCACTGTTCACGTGCCGGTTCTTGTGTCGGCACCCTGCTGTTTTAATCACTGTAGCTTTATAGTATATATAACTTCAAGTCTGGGATTGTAATGCCACCTGCTCTATTTTTGTTACCAGGGACTGCTTTTGCTATTCTGGTTCTCTTGTTCTGTATGAACTTTGGTTTTTTTTCTTTAGATCTGTGAGGAATGCAGTTAGTATCTCAGTTGAGACTGCATTAAACCTCTTTATCAGTTTTAGAAGTATAGCCATTTTAATTATATCGGTTCTGCCTATCTCGGAACAGGGGATATCTTTCCATTTTCTCCTTCATTTTACTTCTCAGTATGACATAATTTTCATTGTAGATGTCTTTCACTTCCTTGGTAAGTTAACTACTATGTAATATTTTTATGAGACCGTGAATGGCATTTTTGTTGTTGTTGTTGTTGTTCTTTTGAGAGAGGGTCTCACTATGTAGTTGAGACTGATCTGGAACTCACTACTCAGCCCAGGCTGGTCTTGAACTCACAGCGATCCTCCTGCCTCAGCCTCCCTCCTGAGTGCTGGGGGTGAATGGTATTTTTTTTTCTAATTTCTTTTTCAATAAGTTCATTACTATTGCATAGGAATACTATTTATTTTTGTGTGCATTCTGTATCCTGCTACATTGCTGAATGTGGTTATTAATTCTAGGAGTCTTAGTGGAAGTTTTTTGAGGGGTCTTGTAAGTAAGGATCATGTCATCTGCAAATAATGATTACTTTGACTTTTCCTTTTCCTGTATATGTATCCAGTTTGTCTTTCTCTTGCTTGATTGCTCTTGCTAATTATTCAAGGGCTATGTTGAACAGGAGTGCTGATAGTGGACACCTTTGTCTTCTTCCTGATTTTAGAGAAAAGGCTTACAGCCTTTCCTCATTTAATATGATGCTGGCAATAGGTTAAGTTTTAGTCTGTGAATTTCTTTTTGTGTGAAATGTGTACCTTGGTACAGCACACCACTGGATTTTGTTTCTTGATCCACTCTGCTAATCTTTGTCTTTTGACTGGCAGATCGAGACCATTTATACTGATAACTATAATTGATAGGTCTTGAGTTGTCTTTTTATTATTTACCTGTTGCTAAGTTGCTTTCTTTCCCTTTTTTGTAATTGCCATCTCAATCATTCTACTGGACATTTTGGCATCATTTACATTTTATCTCTTTCTAGGATATCCTTGAGAATTTTTTGGAGTATTGGTTTCGTGGTCACAAATTTATTTAAATGATGTTTATCATGGAAGTATTTTCTCTCTCCATCAATTTTGAAAAATAATTTTTCAGGATATAACAGTCTGGGTTCGAAGCTTTCTTTTAGAGATTTAAACACTCCATTCCAAGATCTCCTGCCTTTAAGGTTTGTCTCAAGAAGTGTGTTGTAATTTTGATGGATTTTCTTTTATAGGTGGCTCACTGTTATTCTCTAGCAGCCTTTAAGTTTCTGCTCTTGTGTTGGACCTCTGGTGTTTTAATTGTTATATGGTATTAAGTGCTTTTTTTTCTGATCACAGCTATTTGGGATTTTATATGTCTTCTTATGTGTATGGTAAATTCCTTTCCCAATTTTGGAAATTTTTCTGCTATTATCTCTTTAAGCAGGTATTTTATGCCCTTTGTGTTGTCTTCTGATTTTTTAATTAATTCCAATTACTTTTATATTAGTCTTCTTTGAGGCATCCAGTGGCTGTTGGATCCATTTTTCCTGTTCTCATGTTGTTTTTAAGGTATCTCATTAGCTGACCATTTACCACAGCTCTGTCCTCTAGATCTGACACTCTGTCTTCATATTGGTCACTTCTGCTACCCATACTTTCATTCATATTTCTCATCTTCTGGATTTCTGTTTGGAACTTCTTATGGATTCTCATTCATTTCTACGCTGACCATTCATGTTTTACATGCCTTTCTTTACCTCCACTATATTTTTATTGATGTCTTCTCTAGATTCACTGATGATTTGTTTCATTACAGTCATTACCAGATTATTTATAATTTCTTTAAATTTCCCAATCACCTTATTGAACTGTTTTACCTCCATTGATACACTTTCAGACTTTTCTGCTGTGGCTTATTATTTCCTTCCCTCAATGCTCCCAAACTGGTTTGGGAGAGGTGACAATTTTGAGGGGCATTTTGTTGCCCTGATTTTTTCATGTTTCTATTTTTGTTTGTTTTTATGCTAGAGCTTGTGGCTTCTTTGGCCCACTGCCTGGTTCTTTAGCAGTGAGCCCGAGTATTATTTATGTCCCCCCAGGCAATCCAGGTATTGGCATACACAGAAAACCAATTGCCAGCAACAACTATGTCACCTTGGCTATAGTAGTGAAGTCAGTGATGACAACGGCATGAAATATCAACTGGCTACTGACAAATCCTAAGAACCATGCATGAACTGCCCTCAACCACAGATAAGAGATCTATGATTTTAGTGAAGACACTTAAGCCACACAGATACTGACCTAAAATAATTTAGGTCACTCATTTCTGTTGGATATAGGCAATGGTGCAAGAGCTCAAGCATTCGCTGGACTAAATGCCATCGAATTCAGGCCCACTCCCTCTGATGAATATATCCACCCAACCTGACCTTCTACTGTATAATACAAGCTCCAGGATCTGCTTGGCTTGAGCCCAAGCCTCTAGGAGATCCCAATAGATCCCTGTTTAGATCTTGCCCTCTCCAAGCCTGTCTCGCAAGGCTGTTTCACTCAGTCTATATGTAAGGTAATACTTCAGTCCTGGAGTGTAACTGTCCTCCTGCGTATTGGTCTTGTCTTCATTCAGGTCAGTCTTATGGTGTCACCTGTGTTGCCCCATACTGTGGAGAACCCAGAAGCAGAGCTGGCTAGGATTTGGTAGTTTTGTCTTTCTCCTCCTGTCTCCCTCAAAGACCCATGAGGCCTGGGGCAACATCAGAAATAGCAGCGGTGGGTTGTACAAGCCCTCTCACCTCCTGTCTCCTGCATGGGTGATGACAGTCTCGTGCCCAGTGGTGGCCTTCAAACTAAGTGTTGAGTTTCTTCTCTGCCCTTACCCACACCACTCTAATAACACACCGGACAAGAAATATGTAAGTAATTAAAAGTTATATAGAGAGCAGAATGCTTTTAATGTTCATGTGAGATTTGTACATCTAATAAATTTTTGGAGATTGAAGGTTTAGAATGTTTGCTTGTTTTTAGTAAGGGAATCTTACTAATCTATAAAGACAAAATATCAGATATAAAAGGACCCTAGAGATTATGCTATTTAACTCTCTATTATGTGAAGAAACTAAAGCTCAGAAAAATTAGTATGCTCTCTGAAAAGACCAGTAGTTCTTTCAACTATAGTTTTTGCTTAATTTAAAAAAAAATGTCAGTTGTCTGTCAACCTAAAAGCTTCAGAGAAAAAAATATACTAAATGTGTATTTCAGTTTTGAGATGTATCTACACTTTTCAGAATGTTAAAAATTGAAAAATCATGTATGTTAGAATTGAGGAAATGTTGCATTCTTCCAAAAGTAGTTGTTCTTTAATGAAATGACTTATACTAAACTTACTCTCTTCTAGGTACACAAAAACTGTACAATATTTATATATGATACAATGGAGGGCTACACAGTCTGAGTTAGCAGCCCTCTGAATTTCAGCAGGCTGAGATAATTGCAATGCCTGGAAAGCTATAATTTAAATCAATTATATGATACAGATTTTTAAGAAGAAGGCAAACTGTCAAAATGTAGCACTTTCATATTTTTAACTATCAGCTAATATGTGTTTAAATAGATATCAGATTTATAGAAATGATTGTCAAATTACTAAAGAAAGTCTAATTGTAGATATGTAGATATATACCACCTCTTAAATTTAGCTTCTGAAAGATTTTTTTTTGCTACATGTCAATATGCTATTCCCCAGTTGTCTGTTCCCTTTTCTCTTTCCTTTCCTTTCCTTCTTCCTTCCTTGCTTGCTTCCTTCCGTTCTTTCCTTCCTTCTTTATTTTTAGTGAGACACAGTATCACTATTCAGGCCCTGAACTCACCATGTAGCGTAGGCTGGCCTCAAACTTCCTGCAATCCTCCTGCCTTAGCTTCCTGAATGCCGGGATTACAGGCTTGTGACACCACACCTGGCTTCATTTGCTTTTTGCCTGTTTCCACCAACAAAACATGCATTTGATTTTTTTTTTGGTACTGGGGATTAAACTTGGAGTTTTGTGCTTGTGAGGCAGGAGGAGGAACAACTGAGCTAAATCCCTGGTCTCACAAAGCTTCTGATACATAGTAAATATAACTTACTCTGATTCCTTTTGCTCCCAATGGCCCTGGAATTCCATCTTCACCCTAAAAAAATAAAATATACTTAGGTTTTTCCTTCAAAAAAAGCCCTTAAATAACTAATTTTTTGTTATGAAGCTTGAATTTTTGTAAACTTTTGTAAAAGTGAGAAATATAAACACCCAAGTAAGAAGGCTTTATTAAAAGGACTGAGATAAATTACATGACCAAAAATAATACAGTCTCTTATTTAGTGAGAAGAAAACTGCTGATACGTAGAAGAAACTTTACATTTATTTATAAAGTATGAATCATGTAAGAAAACAAAAATGAGATTAAAGTATAGATATTTCTCGAAACATTTATGTATAAACAAAATCTGGTCAATTTCCATATAATGCCAATCTGCTTGCCATGATGATAATAAATAGCCTCATTCTAATACACAAATATGTGCAGTTCTAAATTCACTGTTTTGCACCTTTCCTTTGTTTTGTAAGGCAATTTCTATTGGTAGAGTTTAAGTAGGACTAGAAAGAGCCATAAAATTTTCTTTCCTGCTTCTGCAGTCAGCTCCATGCAAAAGGGGCTAACCACATGTGTGTGTTAATTTATTTACACATTTCTAGTCACAACAGAATTACTGAAATGTTTAAATTTTGACTTTTATCAACTGTTTTCTTTTAAAAAATGAATAAAAAGATCTAATCCTGTTCCATGTAATGTAACATTTTCACAAATTCTAGAAATGAAGACATGGCTATGTTTGGGGTGTGTGGCCATTATTCTTCTTACCACATTTTACTTTCAAAAGTTTAATAATATGCTAGTTTCACAAAATACGCATTTTTAAGGAGATTAAAGTACAGATTCTACTGTAAAACAACTAGAGGAACTTTTGTTCAATGAATACTTAGATGCCTTCTCACTACGTCAGAAATCAAACAAGGATACTTCAATGTTGTATTTGTTGTACTAAGAAGCATGGTTATATAAGAGAAAAATTAGAAGAATGATCATTAGAAAGATGGGACTGGAGGTGTCATGTAGTGGTACAGTATGTGCTGGACATGTGCCAGACCTTGGGCTTCCTCCCCCAACATATTTTAAAAAAACATAAGAGATGAAGCAACAATACCACTATTTTCAAACTTATATAATTATATGACTGAAAAAAAAACAAGATAATTAAAGAAAAACTATTGGAATGAATAGGATAATTTAGTAAAATAACTATAAAAACTATTAATAAATCAAAAAAAAATTTTCATTCTTTCTTGAGACACAGTGTTGCTATGTTACTCAGGCTGGCATCAAACTCCATAGTTCTATCAATGCTTATCCCAACTATCAGAAGACATAATAAAAAAAATCCGATTTCTAAAAGCAAATCATAAATTAGTTAGTGATGATAAATACACAAGCTTCACAGGAAGAAAAGTTCAAAACATTTCTGAGGATCACAAAAGATCTGAAAAAATAAAAGGGTGTCTCATGTTCTTGAATAATTGAATATAACATATAAAATTCAATTTTAAACAACTTTATAAATTTGACATAATGAAAACAGAAATAAGTTTTTTAACTAGACAGTGCTTCTAAAGTTCATACAAAAAATAAATAAGCAAAAACACTGAGAAAAAACCTAAAAGAAAGCATTAAGGGGACAATAGCCATGTCAGATATAAAAATATAACATAAGGTTTCAATAAGTAAAACAGCTTGGTCTTGATATTTGATTAAGCTGACCATTAGAAAAGCATTGGAAAATTCAGGAAAAAATTCATATATTCATTTGAATTTGGCAGACAGTAGCCTCCTCTTCTCCAAGGAAGATATATTCCAAGACCCCTAGTGGGTGCCTAAAACCGTAGATGGTCCTAAATCCTATGTATATAGTACTGCTTTTTCCTATGAATGCATATCTATGATAAAGCTAAACTTATAAATCAAGGCATTAGCAACAGGCAATAATAAAATGGAACAATTATATCATAATAAAAGTAATTTAAAATTTAGGAACTGTTAATTTCTAGAATTTTCCATTGAATATTTTTAGACAATGATTAACTTAAGTAATTGAAAACATGGAAAATGAGAAAATCTAAAGAAAGAATGAATAGTAAAAGTGGCACTGCAAATCAATGGGGAAAATGATGTGAGGTCATATGGAAAAAAAGGGGATCTTAAATGACAAGGTATAGTTATATAAATAGGGAGAACTATTTCTACACAAAATTCACAAGATTTTGAAAAACAGATCCATAAGATACACACACATACATGCATACACTAAGGAAAAACAAATAAGAAACTGGGGGAAAGTAATGCAAACCGCAGTGCAAAGAGCTAAATTCTATAATACATAATACGAAGTGCGATTTTTAAAACAACAGTGAATGTTGTCTTTAGTTTTGCTGTACTGGGTGCCTCGATTTGCTGAATCAATTCAAAATGTTTTGCCTTTTGTGATCATATTGATTTTGCAGGAGATCCACAAGTTAAAAGAGTGCCAGATCTACCAAACAGGGTGAATGGTAATCTTTCTACAAGCCTGTCTTTTCACTGAATGGCATTCAGTGACGCTGTTCACCCTATTTTTGATCACACCTTATACAGACATGCATAAGTCTTTCAGACCTGCTTTAGAAAGTGCCAAGAACAATGTAAAATGTGTGTTTGAAGTGAGAGGGAATATTTTGAGGGGGATTAATAGCAATGCATCTTTTACTGTAATATTTTTTTTAAATTCAAATATTCACTATATAGTTTGATCAGCCATTGTAGTCAGTGAAATATAAAGATATCAAAAACTTTGTAGGAAATGAACAAATTATATAAATATACAGGTCAGAGACAAGACAAATGTTTCTCACACCTATGAACAGCAACTTCCCCCTCATAAACAGAGAAATGTAAATTAAAAAGTATATTGAAAGATTACTTTCCTATCATATTGGCAAAAATCCAAAAGTTTTTTAATAGTATTGGTGAAGCTACAGTGAAATCAATCTTCTTGTGTATTTCTGAGGCTAAATTATATAAACTTGGGAGGGGCAGTTTGGCAATATTTATAATGATATGTACATATATGTATCCTCTGACTTCTACTAAGTTATCTACAGAGTTAATCATTTATTGGTGAAAAGATATCTAACTGAAGTTATACATTTTACCATGTCTGTTTGTAGTTGCAAATAATTTAAACCTGCCCAAATAATTATCAACAGGAGACTGCTTGCTAAACTATGGTTTATATACACAATAAAATACACTGAAGTTATAAAAAGTAATGAGAAAGTTCTGTGTATATACAATTAAATATATGCAATTAAGTGTATATGCAATTAGGGGAAGAGCAAAAGTCAAACATAATATAGTATTATTTTATAAAATATGAGTATGTGACTCAGTGACTAATGAGCACTGGTAGAGAGATTATTTTCATTGTGTAACTTCTTACATTAATTTACCTTGAATAAACTGCATACATTGCCCATTAAAAGCTAAGTTTTATTATTAAAAAGAAATCTTTTGGGAAATTATGTAAGTACATACATAGATAGATAGATAGATAGATAATGTGTGTGTGTTTCATATATCCTCACTTTAATAAGTAGAAGTGTACCAATAAAGAATAATCCTACACAATTTTTACTTAGTATACATATTAACATATACACATATACCAGAATGGCACATTCACATCAAGAGTACATTTTCAGCTATATTGAGAAATATAAAGTCATACCAGATATAGAAGTACAAATGCTTTTGGGGGCTGGGGATTTAGCTCAGTGGTTCCACCACCTGCCTCGCAAACTCAAGGGCCCAAGTTTGATCCCCAGTACCAAAAAAATAAAAAATAAAATAAAATAAAAATTAAAAAAAGAAGTACAAATGCTTTAAATTTAGAATACTAAAAGCTTAGAAACCAGCTTACCTTTTCACTCTACAGATAATGAAATGAAATCATTCCAAAAGATTGGATATGCTTCTAAACTTAAATCAATACAAGAACATCTTTACAAACTATCATATAATTGTAGAGTAGTCCCAGTTAATCTAAATTATTTCAAAGAAATTCTGCTGTAGTTAACTTTTAATGTAATTTGAATCTTTATTAAAACTTATCTCTAAACAAGAATGATGTGCAAATAACTCAGCCAGCAATCCCAGATAAATTCAAGATGTAATAAATATAACTTTTTCAATGGTTCAATTAAATTTTTATGTCAAACCATTCACTTCCATAACATAGCTGAAATTTAATCTCAGTCAATTGAAGTGCCTACCTCATTTTCACAAAACTGTACCCTAAGTTTAGGAAAGCTTATGTAGTTTCAATATGTTGAAGGGTAGAATAGGCTGATTCAAGCTAGAATTCACTAAAATGTCATGATAATCTATATAAATTGCTGCTGAGTTACTGCTCAGTTCCATCCAATTGACTGAGATTACTGTGCAGTACTTCTGCACATCTCCTGGGTGCATGAGAATCATTCTGCTGCTCTTTTCTTGCTGTGTCATTAGACACATGAAATTCAGTTGAATGGCCGTCTACTAAAATTCTATGTAATCATTTAGAAGGTTGGCATATGTCCAGTGTTCAAGTTCTACTCAGCAAATTTTGCACAGTTCCCACCTATTTTTGAATCTAACAAAACTAGCTTCTACTCAAGATGATGGTCATCATTCTCCCAAATTCTAAACTCTGACATAATTAAATGTAAAAAAATGCATTAAAGTTTATTTTCTTCTTTTATTGAAGGACCACATGGTATCTTTTTGATATATTTCATACTGTAATGATATGATATACCATCATTATATAAAATAACAAAAATTAGAAAAAAGGTTTTTAAGCCAATTTTCCTTTACAAGCACATGAACAGAACTGGCCCTTTCATATATCACTTCACCAGTGTGCCTAATACAGATGGATACGCGCACTGAGCCAAAAGAGCCATTAAAAACAAAAAGAAACTTCTCTCAGTCTTAAACTTCACTATTCTTTCTTCTCATTCCCTACCTTAGCATGCACATAAAGATGCTGTCCTTGATCATAGTACAGGACAGGCTGCCCATATTGCAATTAAGAATTCCCCCATTTAATGAGATGAGAACACTTTTGGATCCATGAACTTCAATATGGGGGGCAGGAGGTTATGAATCTAACCTCTCTTCTCTCTCTTCCACATAATAGCCTGTGTGACTGCTTCCTTGCCAAATTCGTTGATAGGCCTCTCCCAGGTAGTCACCATCACCCTAAATTTCACAAAACTGCTGGATAATTCACTCATTGACCAAAACCATAAATATGTATATCGATTGCTATGCAGCTGAGTATTATAAATGGGTAATTTTCTAATTGTGGACTATTTTTGTTCCTCGGGTACTGAAACTGTGTGACTTTGGTCCTGATTTATTGCCACAGTTGGACTCAGACACAACAGCAACAAAATTCCTCCGCAAATGTCAAACGTCTCCGGTCCATTATAGAAGCAACTGAAACATCTGAGAAAGGGATATGGAGTATGCCATTTTGCTGTTTTAATATTTTATGTAATACACCAATTTCACTCAAGAACTCTTCCTATCAGGAGGGTCTTGCTGGTTGACCCCCAAGGTAATCAATGACATAAATATCCAGAACTGTGTATATCCCCATTGCGGTATTATTTTTTGTAAAACTTAGACCTTTAATATTTCTACCAATGGAATACACCTATATGGGATATTGATAAAAGATTCTCAAATCTCAAAACATTTCTTCTTATTAAGCATTTCACACTGCATAGTGTAAGACAAGAACTCCAAAACTAGATAAACTCTGGTTATTCAGAAGAATTTCCAGGTGGCATAACAGACTCTCATGGGTATGTTCCAGGCAATGTTTCCATGGTCAGTCCTTCACTTAGAGAAGGTGATGCTGGGCATGTCCTTGAACACTGCTAAGGATATTAATGACTTTACTTCAGCTTTGAGAGCATAACAGACTAGTCTAAAATCATCAGCTTGGGTAGTGGTAACCATTTAGTCTGAAACCTGCTGGTCAACAAAGGAGAGATCACTTTGACTGACAACACCTAGGTCACTAAAAGTGAAAACCTACAGCAGTCCAGCATAACACTCGTGAAAAAAGCTTCCTGACCCTCAAAAGTAAATCATCTGGGCTATAGCATATTTACTCTTGCTTTTTCAGTAGTTGGGGATCATGGTTATTACTTAATCTTTCAAACAGATGTGGCATCCTACTTGTAATATTTTCAGATCATTGTGATCTCAGACTAACTGCCCAGTTTTCAAAATAGCCCTTTAAAGTCCAACCCATTTAGGCCCAAGATAAGGAAGCTTACTTTTCTCATTCAGGTCTTGAAAAATCAAGTGGTAGAATTAAGCAATATGGGTCCTTTTAAACAACTTTGTGTGGTGTTTTCCAAGCTGAACCAAAGGCCTCTTGGGGGACAGTTGCCTTCTCCACACCAAAATTGGTGTACAACTAATACACTGCGGTCTCTGAAGGGAGCTGCTGTCAAGGACTCACTCAGGCTCCCTGGGCTGGCTATGCTTTATGCTGATAGACTTCATTATCCTGGGCCTTTAGTGGAGACTTTTGTATGGGAAGAGGAACCCTGAAGGTACTTTTTCTACACTCTGACTCAGTACTTCTCCACTCCTAACCCTTCTCCCTTCTCCCACCCTATCCCAGGTCTATACACCCGCAGGAGCATTTTGTTGCTCTGAGCTCTCCCAACAGTGAAAGAATTCCTAACCTCTGTGCTAATCCCTCTGACTCTTGCTCCGTCATGGGGGGATAAATGGAACAGTGAGAGAGTTGATGCTTTCTCTGATTTTACTTATTTGTCATAATGTTGCTGTGATTGAGTAATGTTACTTTCACCGTGTCTTGCTGTCTTAATTAGCTACACTGACATCTAGCAGCCCTCCTCTGACCAAATCAGCACAGCTTCTGATACAACGTAATTTTTGATAAAGGTTCCAATAAACACATATAGCATCTTTCAAAATATGTAGATGTGGCAGTAACTTCACTTACATAAACCCCAACAATTTAGACTCCTCACTATTCCATTGTTTGATGTAAGTATTAGTTTCTTACTATAGTTCTACTTTATAGTTGCTTCAACACCCAGTCTCACATTTAAAATGGCTGAATTCCTCTGGTATTACTGTTTGGCAATTTGACATATACCTTTTGACCCGGAGGCCCTGGAGGCCCTTCTGGACCTGGAAATCCAGGCAAACCTGGATGGCCCTCCAAACCTGGAAATCCTGTCTCTCCCTGCAAATAAATGAAAAGAATGAAAGGTAAGATCATTAGTAAATTTTCAAGCATAAGATTGGCTGACATTCAAAAACAACAAATGATTATATAGATAAAACTAACACTTTAATAATCATGAACTCACAGTATACACTAACATGGGAAATCTATAATGTACGAAGAAAACACCAAAAACTATCCTAACATTATACCATATACAGTAATGCATTCTCTTTTTTCCTGTAAAACTAAAAAAGTATATCTGAGATGAAATGAAATATAAACATACTAACATCAAATTTAAGAAGGAAGACAGCAATAAATCTAGGAAATCAGGTCTGTAAGGTTTATAAGATGTAAGTGTAGGACAAGTTTGAAGAAGGATAAAAGCAAACCCTCAGAGAAGCTTCCAGATTTGCAACTCATAAAACTCTCATAGTAGAGTTGCAAAGTTATTCAGAATGGAAATTTGTTGGCTGGTAGGATTAAATTACCCAGAAAAAAACTTTTAAAATATCAAAATTTTATAATTTTTTCTGATTGTAAAATTAATACAAAAAGAATACATGCTCACTGTAGAAAAAAATATAAAGAAAACTTCTAGTAATTTATTTATTCAGAATAATTAATTGAATTCTAACTTCAGGTTCAATTCTGACTACAGTACTTAACACCAGCACAGGAGGGTTGACTACCTAGCAGAGTAGGATCACCATCTTATCAGCGTCTATGCAGTAAAGTTGCCTGATGTTAACATCTGTAAAGCCAGAAAAGTGGAGAGAGCTGAGCCAGCCTAAATAATATTTAGATTGACACATTAGGGTTAGTTAAATTGCATACAGCCAGGCATTGAAATGCGGTGAACTCCAACACTGGACTGGGAGACCAATCACAGAAAGAGAATTCTTCAATGTGAAGTTTAAGAACCTTGAAAGCTCAAGGCACTTTAGCACATACTTTCAACTAAAGGAATACAAGAAACTCTCCACTTTCCTAAAGCTTGAAGCTAGATCTTAGTCTGTGAAAACTACTGTCAGATCATATAGAGACAGCCCAGGCAGCACCTGAAAAAGAGAAAGCATTGATACCTACAAGAAGTCTGACTAAAGGGCTAATAAAGGTATATACAGATTCTTAAGGTGAAGGCACAGTAGACTATTATTCCTATCCCCAAACTGCACGTGTGGGTGTTTATGAGGGTGCGTGTGTGCATGTGTGTTTGCATTGTAATAAGTTTAGTCTAAAGAACTTGCATAATTTTGTATTGAAGAATTCCTTATGTCAAATCATCTTATAACCTAAAAATAAAAGTCCTTTGAAATTACTATTTCTGGTCAGTTCCCACTTACTAGATCAGAGCCAATGAATCAAATGTTGACTAATTATGAATAGGTTGCAACGCTCCTGTGGCTTTGACAGTAATTATTATTGCACGTAACTATATGTATATATTTTTGTTTCCTAGAAATGTATCTCTTTGTTGTTATAATTAGTTACAAAGTTATAATAATTTAATTTTTATTAACTTCAACTCAATTATTTTGAAGGAAAAAGGGCAAGAAGAGAGAAATTGAATGTTTGAAAATTTTTAGAGCTGGATTGCCTCAAATCATCATGTAGTCCATTACTGACAAGAGGTAGTAAAAATCGGACTGTGAGTTCCAGTCAAAAAGAAAACAAGAGGAAAAATTTTTCCAGTTCTAGTAGATTTCCATAAGTGGAAAACATTTTGGAATCTCAGCTGGTATTCAGAGCACACCTCTGCCAAAACTTGAGAACACTAAGTGAAGAAAGCTGTATTTTCTCAGAAACAAAACTGTTATCTGGGCCACAGATAAGAGAGAAATAAACTAGGGATTGCTAAAAGCCATAACGGTGCTGATATTAATAAAACCTTTACCTATAAATGTTATATCCTGGAATCTCCTCACCTTACTGTCAATCAATGTAGTCCTATCTGACTAAGCAGTATCATAGTATGGAAGATATAAGGCCAGCTACTGGACAGTAGCAAAAAAGAATTGAAAGAATAATCCTGATACTTTCAAACGTAGAAGATTTAATAAAGTAGAAACTATACAAGCCTTGTGAAAGGAAAGATTTGAGGGTAGGATCCTCTACCTAAACCCTAATGAAGATAGTGGGGAAGGCTGATACTGGTTGCATACCTAACTTTTACTACTTTTCATTGGATGCTCATTTAATCCACAAAACTGCTCTAGATTTTACTGTAATTTGCTGACACAACAGAAAATGATGTGGTATGATGTGGTATGTATATGTCTGGAGGTCAATTTTCTTAAAAAATCATTCTTATTTTTTTTAATGGAATAATATGATTCTCCCTTTGCCTGTCTTTTAAATATAGGTATTGCTCTTGATTCCTTTTTTGACCTTTTCTCTCTTTCCCTGGGAAATCTCAAATGTCAATTTTTTCTTAAAGCTAATCTCTCATAAACAACTGTCTTAAACATATCTCAGGCATTTAAAACTCAAAAACAATAATAGCAGGTAACCTATACTGAGTGTTTTCTTTGGGTCAGAAGTTATTCTACTTTCCTCATTTTATCTTAATACTCTCGATGACAAGATAGGTAGATATAATTATCACTTGTAATTTATGTATGAAACATGATGACAGAGAAGTTTTGTAATTTTTCTCTAAGGGCAAACCATAAAAAGTTCATTTTCTACCATGTTTGCTATTTAAGGATATAACATAACTCAGCTGCCCTACTCAGAAGTTTGTATTAATCTTCACTCTACCCTCTCCAGTACCCCTTCATCTCATCAATCAAGTCTTTTTCAATCTTGGGTTCTTAAGTTCCAACAGAACAAATACTCGCTAATGAATGAAATTCCTTAATGGATTGCACAACAAATTTAGGAAATCTTTTTGTTCAAAATTCTGAACCAAAATGACTTAGGGTTATGAGAAATTATACAAAGGTGACCATTTATGATAAAGCTAACATACTTTAAATAAGCTCATTTTAAGAAAAACAAGACTAACTGCTGAAAATGTGTCCTAATTGCTGAAAATAGGTCCCTAGAATGTAAGTTAAAGACACTCTTAAAAATCTTACCATTTTATAAGAAAGGCATTTTATACTTACAGCAAGAAAGTTTCATGAGAATGAAAATATATGTTAAGAATAGTTTCTCAAGGAAGATACAATATTAACAAAAGAATTATTACATTTTAGGGATTGAAAAATGAAGACAAACTACTACAATAACAATTGAGATTAAATTATTTGCATTATAATACTATAAATATGCATAAATTATATGAACATATAGGTAAGGCAAGACCTTTAACAAATAAATGAAAATAATAATTTAATTATGTAACACAATGTTGTCTTCTTTAGTATAATTTCAGTTTTTTTATTACTATATCGCACAAATAAATAGTTGATGTAATATAATTAGGGAAATAAGATCTTTATGTGGCCATCAAAATGAAAATATGTAGGTCCAAAGATCTAAAACTTAAGCTTTCAACATATCCACTTGAAGAGCAAATCACCAGGCGCCATCATGATCAATTAGTTTGATAAAGTAAGCTGTGGAGCCTGAGAATCTACATTTCTAAACCGATCCTAGTAAATGTTAGTGGACACATTCTTTCAGGGTAATCTAGATGTTTCACTATTTCTATATTAAACTGACAGTTAAAAGCAGTTTTACCACAGGAAAAAAATAATAATACAATAAATCACACATATGTAAGGTCTACAATTTTTAAAATTTTACATGCATACACCAGTGGAATCATCTCCTCAGCCAAAATAAATATGAGCCCACTCACAAAAATTTCCATGTGCTCATTATCTTCTTCATGCCTCTACCCCATTTCCTGCCAACCTCTTTCCAGGAAATGACTGATCTGTTTTCTGTCATTATAGATTTATTTACATTTCTAAAATTTTATGTAAATCTAATCATGTAGACTGTATGTTTTGTCTAACATAGCACTCAGTATAATTATTCTGAAATTCAAATGTGTTGATATGGGTATCAACAGTTCATTTATTTTTATAGCTAAGTAGTATTCTAATGTATAGACAGATATGCTGCAATGTTTTGATTCATTGAAATTGGGTTGTTTCTAATTTATGATTATTACAAATAAAACTATCATAAATACAAGTTCTAGATAGACCTATTTCTTCATTTTTTATTAGTAAATGCCTAGGAATTGACAGGGTCCTATAAGATGTGTTATTAATTTTTTATGAGATTGCTAAATTGTTTTCCAAGAGTGTATTTTTTTACATTTGCACCAGCAAATCTATAATAGCTCAAGTTGTTCCACATCCTCATTTATACTTGGTGTGAATTAATCTAATATTTTGATATTCTAACAGACTTATAGTGGTATCTCATTATGGTTTTATTTTGCATTTCCATAATTGATAATGTTGAGTCACCTTATATCTGTTTCTTTAAAGTGTCTTTAAATCTTTTTTTTTAATTTTATTGAGTTTATTTGTACATTTTAGGGATACAGTACAGTTACATTCATTGTTGGGATCATGTACCTTTACATGGCAAGTCTTGATTCTCATTTTTTTCCCCTTACCTCTGCCCTCCCTTCACCCCCTCCTCCCCTCCCCATCTACAAACACTTTATTTTCATCTTTTCATTCTCTCACATTTTTTTCTTTTCCCTTTTTGTTCTTCCCCTACGTATCACACCTTCCCTACACCTTTAGCTCCTTTCTTCAAATTTCTAAATGTCAGTAATCTTATTAGAATCTTATGCATTGTAAATCTTGCCAACATTTTTTCTGATTTGGTTTTACTTGAGGATGTTTATTTTACTAGTTAGTTAGAGATTTTTAAAAACTTTGCAGCTGTTGATTTAGCTCAGTGGTTACACCGCCTGCGTTGCAAGTGCAAGGTCCCTAGTTTGATCCCCGGTACAAAAAAAAAAAAAATGCATCCAAAATAACAGATATGAGAATTGTAAGAATTTTGCCATACTGCAGCTATCTTTTCATTTATCTTAA